TTTACTGAGCAGCTAAAGCACTTGCTATTTAGCTTTTCTAAATATTTACACTATTACTGGTTATTTTTACATATTCTAAGTAGCATTTTCCTCCAAAAAGTGGACTCTCCAGTTCTTAGCACTAATTCTTAAAGTCAAACAAACCTGAAAATATGGGAAATCTTTTCAGTGTTTTATTGCTCTACAACAGGCAGAGGGGCTCAAAGAGGGGTTTCTACATTCTAAGTACAGTATGCAATACCTTAAAATTTAAAATACTAAGTAATTGATACTCACAAGCAGATAATGGCAACTAAAACTTTTCTTTACTAGTTTTTCCTTTTCTTTTACAAAAGAAAAATCACTGTATTAATATACTACAAAAGCATGTAGACTCCATAATTAAAAACTTTAAATGTCAGATATACAAGTAAATGACATTTTCTCCAATAATTCACAATTTTTACAATTTCTGCTATTTTGGAACAAATGTTAAAATATGCACGATTTAAGAATCATTAAATATGAACTGAAACATTTAGTATCTCAAAGAATTATCAATAAAGGAAGAACTCATGGGCAAGGCATGGTGGCATGGCTACTTGGGATGTAAAGATGGAAGGACCAAGGTCCAAAGCCAGCCCAGGGCAAAAATCAAGTCCTTCTCTGAAAAATAAACAAAAGGGAAAAAAGGCTAGAGGTGTGGCTCAACTTGGTATAGTGTTTGCTTGACAAGCACAAGGTCCTGAGTTCAAACTCCAGTGCTGCCACAAAAAAAAAAAACCAAACCCAGCACTTACAATTAACTCTGTAACTTAATATTGATGATGTATCTCCCCTTTGTTCTGTTATTCCTTAAATATACATTTTACTATGGTATATTCTCATGAGTGGTTCTGATTTGAAAACTTAATTTCTTAGTATTAATTGTGAAGAGCTTCAAGGTTGTACAATTTTGTTGAATTATATGATAACCCTGAAAGAGGAAATGTCCACTCAACTTAGAATATGTGGTTCATCACTACGGTTATAAAGGGTCTTCTTAGATTCACATTAAAATGAGTGGAATTTAAACAAATTCCATTTTCATTCCATGAAATAAACTCATTCATAAAAGCTTTGCTTTTATGAAAATTGTAAGATGGAGACCTTGCTTTGAGAACCACAGAACTTGCAAAATCTGCACTGCAGTATTTTTTTTGGGCCAATTAGTTACTATTGAAAAATGAGGATAAAACTGTACCAATATTCTGAAATAAACATTTTTATGATATTACCACTATATTAACCAGGTGAAGTACAATTAGTGACAGAAATTACATGTATATTTCATACCTAAAGGTTAGTTATTAGAAAGGTGGAAATATTTAGAGAAATGTTCACTAGTAGACAGTATTAGTAGGTTAACTGCAAAAACAAGTCATAAATTTTGCATTTAGTAGCTAACATGAGATGTCAGCATAATTCTCAAAACCTGTAATTAATAGTGTATGAGTTGTTAGCAAATGATCTTCCCTGAGGTAAAAGACAATACACAATATTACACTGTTCATTTCCAATGAAGCTGATAATTAAAAGTAACAGCAATTAAGGACCTGTGGCTGGGAATCACTGATAAATTGCAGATATCTTAACTGCTGACAGTAAGGCTGACTTTAAAAACTAAACTAAAAATCTTAAGAAGATATAAACCAAATTTTAGTCAATAGCATTTACTAAATTTCCCAGGCTTGTACACTTGAACCACACCTCCAGCCCTTTTTGCTTCAGTTTATTTTTTCAGATAGGACTCATGCATATCAAGTCCCCAGAACAGGATCCTCCTACCTCCAGCTGGAATTTTGATACAAGGTCTCACTAAATTTTTGCCTGGGCTGGCCTGGAACTGTGATCCTCCCATCTCCGCCTCCCATGCAACTTTCAGGCCTCTTGTCCTAACACTTTGGAATAAAATATCTGAACACAGTTTGGGAGTAGGATAATCAGCAGTAGGCTTGCTCTTTAGTGCCTGAGTAACCACTTGCTGGGAGTTATTTATAGTCTATTTCATATTTGGCAGTATCTTGCTTCCAATTTTCTCATTACCAGTATTCTAGACACATACCACCTTTAACTCTAATTGGACTTTGGGTCATCAAATTTCGAACTTGGTATGATTAACTACAGAACATATTATGAAGAAAAATATTTATAATATTATTTCAATGTTTAGTGAAGTACTGCAAATAGAACTGAATTATAGGAATGAATTAGTTATAATAGTACATCTAGGACTAAAATATTTTAGTTAATTTAAGATCTCTAGCTTGGACTCAAAGATACTGCATTATCACAAATTAATCATTTTACAGTTATATAGCCAAATAAAAAGATGATATTTTAAAAAATAAAGAAACCCTAACTTCATAAGGCCAGCTGTTGTAGCTCAGGCCTATAATCCCAGCTTCTTGGGAGGCAGCTATCAGGAGGATCGATGTTCAAAGCCAAACCTCGAAAGAAGTTATGGAGTCCCCAATGTCAACAAAAAAGTGGGTATGGTGGCTCATGTCTGCAATCCCAGCTTCTCAGGTGGTGTAAGTTAGGAGGATTGTGGTCCAGGCTGGCCTAGGCAAAACAACAAACCAACCAACAACTAAATACTAAGAACTTATCTGAAAAATAACTAAAGCAAAAAGAGCTGGTATGTGTCTCAGTTGGTAGCGAGCTTGCCTAGCAGGGTTGAGGCTGAGTTCAAACTCCAGTACCACCAAAAACAAACAAACTTTGCGAAGAGGATACCTGACCTACTCCCTATCCTCACTCAGATTTTCAGGTGATTTAAATAATCTCCAAAATATCCCTAATATCTCAGAATCAAGCCTTTTATTCTTTATGAAGGGAGAACCCAAACTGTTACTGTACTACTTGTACCCAATTAGCTTCTAAATAGCATGCTATTTCTAGAGAAATTAAGCATTGTCAGAGATGAGTCCATCTTCTAATGTTCACATGAGCATTTAATGCTGGGCATTTAATTTTGCTGTTCTTCCTTTAATGCTTTAACATCCTATTAGTCAGTTACTAATAAAACATACCAAGCCACAGATGAAGAAAATAAAGTCTCTGTTAGAGGCAATAATATAATTTACTTGGAAGCAGTGCATATTTTGCTTACTGAACAGTTTCCTTGTACTTAAATAAAAGGAAAAATGTTTCAGTGACTGAAAAAGACAGAATTAGAGTGGTTAGTGAAGTGATTTTTGTAATTTTTAGTTTAATACAGAAGCACGATATGCTAAGTGCTGAATATTATTTGGTAGCTCTCTATATGAAAAACTAGTACACAGTATAAAAGTTCTAAATCTTATTTTGATATAAATATGACTGAAAGTAAATTTAGAAATGGAAGAATGGAGATAAAATATTGCAAAAAAAAAAAAAGCTTGTGACATTGTGATAAAAACTAACCCAAATGGATCTTGTTCAGATATACCTGTAAAATGTCTAGATTCTCCATTCTTCCCTCATTCAACAAAATGGGGTAGGTAATTTAATGTGGATTCAGTCAGAAATACTTTCATAGAAAGAAGACCAAAACCTCCCTTATCTGGAAAAACAAGTTTAAGTACTATCTATATCCCATATGAATCAACAGGCAGAGATTTTTAAATACCTGATAATACACTTTCTGATGTACAGTTTTGTAGAATTGCAAACAGTTCTGCATCTGTTACATGTGCGAACAGAGACGGCCAGGCTTTAAATGCTCTAAGTAAGAGATTGTATTAATATACATTTTGTTTTTCATCCATTCAAATTCAACTTAATTTCAGTGAACAAAGGAAGAAAATGGATTGAAATATACATTTCAGAATACAGATCTGCAGAACAGGATAAAATAGTGCAATATCAATCTCAGGATAAACACTCTGTCTTTAAGGAATAAGCATGAAAACTGCTTCTCAAAGACACTGGCATAAAGATTTAATGAATACACTATTTAAGCAAATGCTCAGTTGATCAGGGTTATACTGCAGTAAAATTTGCATCCAAACCCAAGTGAAGCCAACAAGTAAAGAAAATCTTACGGACTCTAAGAAAACATTTTTGGTTCAAAGGGGCTCAAAGACACTTAGCATATACAGGCTTAAATATCATTGATCAAAATTGCAGAACAATGTAACACATTCATAAAGATAAATTCTTATTTATAAATTCTCTGTGAATCTGACATACTCTGAAAATTAGAAATTAACTACTGCTACCATTATTTTAAAATTTTCTACCACAATTTTCAATCAACTTTCTGCAAGATTAAAAAAACAAACAGGTGGTACTTGACCAGGCCAGGATTCAAAAAATAATGGTAACATATTATCAACAAACCACACAATTAACTGTGTTGGCTCAGACAGCAACTAACTGAATCACATTGACTTTATCATTCTAGAATAGATATTTTCTCCAACTTTGCTCAAATTAGCAAAATGTTATATTATTACACTCTATTCTCAAGATATTTTTGTCAAGAATAGCTATCTCTATGAATGTGTTTACGTTCACAGAAATGTCAGAATACCACTGTCTAATAAATCATTTTATGAATTTTAAGATACAATTTAGTTCAGATAAACTTCAAATTTACACAAATCTTTTGAAACTCTAAATAAATACATAGCATGGCTACCTTGATGACATCAACATTAGGAAAATCTCCTTTCCTCCCCAGTTCTTGTCTTTTTAGAAATCAAACATATTTAGCAAGAGCATTTTCATGTTTAAAACATTAAGACTTCCGTGGACTTAAAATTATGAAGAACTTCCAATGAACCACATTTATGGAAGAAACTCATCTCAGGAGATCTAATAAACTAGTTTACAGGAATTCAGAGCCAGCCTGGGCAGCAGAACATTTAAAAGCTATTGCCAATCACACACTTGCTATCATGCACTGAATAACAAGATATAATCTTTGAATTATATACGTACAAGATTTTTAATGACTAATCAAGTTATGTGGCCCAGCCAACAAATATTACATATTCACAATAAACACTCTGCCTTTATTAGCCTCTAATGAAATCAAGAGTGATCCATTGGCTCAGTTGTGCTAGTCATGTCAGCATCTTGACTATCCATCTCTTCAGGCTCCTCCACGGAATTTTCCTTTTGTGCTTTTGACCTTGTAGCAAATGCTGCTCCCAATGCATCTGCCACAGAGCTATCAGTTGTTTCTGTATTCAAATTTTCAGTGCCACCAGTTAAAGAAAAGGATTCAGGCAAGCCAGTCTGAAGACTCCCAGGCCTCACAGAACTCACAATTTCTACTTTTCTTTGAGGAAGATCAGATGGTGACTGCTCTGTACTTTGATCCCGCAAGTGTTTGTCCATTGACGCCTGAATAGAAGAAACCATTTCCTGCAATTTTTTCCGCTGGGCCTCTACCAAATCAGGATCAAGCTGCCTGCTGTCTCTCATTGTTACCACTCCAGGAGCTATTCGAATAAGCTCACTGTTACTAGGAGCAGCTGTGAATACAGGAGGCTCTGTTTTAGTGGAACTATTACCAAAGTCTGTCCCTGTATTATGCTTTCTTACAACTGGAGTTTCCCTAGCTCTTGGATCAAGGTGTGGATTACTGGATGCAGTTCCTAGAGAATGCCCCTTGCCCTGAAAGGCTGTTACATTATGAAGCTGCTCAGATTTCTTTTTCACTACTCCACCACTACCTAGTTTTAATAGCCCATGTGAGGGACTTGATTCCCTGCTTCTTGTAGTAGCCTCTGCTCGAACCTGACTAACAGCCTCTTTAACTAAATCTTCGACATCAGGACCAATGGGGAAATGTCCCGCAGCATCCACACACAGCTCCAATCTATCTTCAGAAGCATTATAGACAAAAGTTTTGCCAGGTAGATGTGGAAAAGTACAATGCTTGCCATCAGACATACCTGAAGAAAGGGCAGAAATATTCAACAGATTAAAATCTTACGTTAGCAAAAGTGCAGTCAAGACAATTATGGTTAGAACACTGAATTTTCTATAGCAATACATACATAACAGCTTTCAAAACAAGATTTATTAGAAAATAATTTACTCTACAACAGTAATAAATATCACCACAGACCTTAAACTAGTTCCCTGAGATTTTCTTTTTAAATCATTATCATGTTAGCAAAGTTAGGAAAGAGGCATGTAAGAAATGACTGAATAAGGAAAACAGTATAAGCCAATAAGAAAATGCACTAAATTTACTAAAACTCAAATATTTCAAATAAACATTACGTTCAACAGTAGATAAAATAACAATTAATAAAAATCCAAGTAGAATTTTCTCCTGACACACTTTTGGCAGAGACAAAAATTAAAGTCACTGGAGATGTAGCTCGGTAGAGTAAGCGCCCACTATGCTCCAGGCCCTAAATTCAATGGCGGGGGTGGGGATTAAAGTCAGAGATGTGTTGATCCCCAGGGGGGAGAAAAAAAAAAAAAGAACACCTAAAGTCAAAGATGTGATCTAAATAGTACTTTTTCTGGGCATATCCTAGATTCAGTTTACTGTCTCCTAAACCCCTATCTCAGAGATCTAGAAACCATGTCTCCAGAAACCAAAGTAGTAAAAAAGAGAATTACATAAGGCCAGGAAGCTTTCAAACATTCATTTCAATAGAGAACACTTACTGAGCCTCACTATGTGCCAGAAACTAAACTGTGACAATTTTAACATAAAATATAATTCTTAGACGACAGATACTACAAACAGATCATAACAGAATCATAAGTATAATGATGGCATACTACATCTCATCTCTCGTTATTTGAGGATTAAATAAGGAAGTATATGCAAAGCATATACCTCAGTGCTTAATTATCAGTCAGGCATTTTAATTTTGCTAGATTAAAAGGGTTTTGCAATTATACTCAGGATGCTGCTATGAGGCTTCTCCCTGGACCATCCCTAGGAGAAGTCGTAGTTCCACACACACTAATCACAGTATTACCACAGTGAAACAGAGAAACAACTGCTTGGGTTTTACATAACCTAAGAGAGGTACATGGTCCTTTGAATTTTGAGAATCAAGATCCATTAAAATTTCCATATGACAAGCCAGGTATGGTGGTACATACCTATAGTCCAGCTGGGCATAAGTAAATGGTCTGAGGCTAGCCTTGGGCAAAAAGAGTGAGACCCTATCTGGAAAATCAGGCAAAAGGAGTAGAGATATGGCTTAACTGGTAGAGTGTTTGCCTAAGAAGCACAAAGCAGCTGGCAGAGTGGCTCAAGCAGTAGAGTACCTGCCTAGCAAGCGTGAAGCCCTGAGTCCAAATCTCAGTACAACAACAACAACAAAAAAAGCACAAGGCCCTGAGTTCAAACCTCTGTACCCATCCCCAATTCTGTGTCACATATCAACAATTCCTTTACTCATTTATACTAACTAAAGACACATATACTAGTATTTACATGGTTCCTTGTATCAAAAAACTGGAAACTACTCAAAAATCTATCAGCAGAATAAGAGATGAATTGTGTTAAAAATGATACAATATATTATGGAACAGTGAAAATGAACTAGAGTTGAACCATCAACATGGATGAATCTGAAAAAAGTACTGCACAAAGGAAGCAAGTCACAGAAGAATGCATGCAGCGTAATTCTATTTTCACAAGGTTAGAACACAAGCAAAGCTAAATGTTATTATGAAGAAGACCAACACAAGTATTAAGTTTGCCACTCAGCTCTACTTCCACCTAACTGCAAGGAAACTTACATTTCAAGTCAATTAACTTTAAAATACTTTTCCAAACATAAAGAACAGGAATAGTAATAGCCCATTTTAGTTATATTGAGCGGTATTTCTACTCAATTACAAATATAATCACCTATCAGTGTGGATTTGAACAAATTAAGAGAGGTACATTTTTTTTTCGTTTTTAGGGAGAGTAGTAGGGCATGCTTAGGGGTGAGGAGGGCTTGCTAAACTTTGAGTCTTTGACCATAGGTTTATAATTACTTGTCACATGAATCTGTCATTAAAATACAAAAAAAAATTACCACAAATACTGGAAGAAATATTTTTAGAGGTAAAATAATTTTCTTTCTAAGGATGACCCATTTGAAATGATTGTATTAGCAGAGCAAAAGTAGTGCATGCCTACAGTCTCAGCTACATGGGAAGCTGAGGTCACAGGATCTCTCTTGAGGTTATAATTGGGAGACCAGCCTGTGCAACATAGTGAGACAGTGTCTCAAAAAAGAAAAGAAAACAGCTGTGTTATAATCAAAAAAACTTTACAGGCTGGGGTACAGTTTAGTGGTAGAGAACTTTTTTAGTTCTGCAAATAACAACTGAAATTCTAATACAAACACCAAACACTTGCTAAGTGTTCACTGGGGACCAAGCCCTTTGCTAGTGCTTGATGTACATGACTTCATTTGAGCCTCACAACTTGACATGATCATATCCATTTTACAAATAAAGAAACTGAATGAGGAGTCACACAGAAAGTGACAGAACCAGAATTCGGTTTCAGATGTTCTGACTCCAGAGTACTAACCTCTCTCCTAATAAAGATAAACATTACATGTTAGCATTTTTTAAAAATAGCAACTCTATTGGAATATAATTCACATACAATTCACCCATTTTAAGTGTACAACTAAATGGCTTTTAGTGTATTAAGAGTGGCACAACCAGTACATTTTTAGAATATTTTATTACCCCCAAAAGAAACTGCATCTTAGCAGTAACTCCCATTTTTCTCCTCTTATTTTATCCCCAGCCTTAGGAAACCACCCACTTACTGTCTCTCTAGGTATGATTATTCTGAGCATATTATTATATGGTCATTCATATAGCATGTTTTCATTCACAATATACCATGAATAAACCTGTTCCTTTTTAAATTGGCAAGTAATATTCCTTTGTATGTCTATACCACACTTTACCCAGTCATCAATTAATGGCCACTTAGGTTGTTCTCATTTTGGGGTATAAGTTTTGGGTAAATTTGGGTGTATTTTCATTTCTCTTGGGTACACACCTAAAGCTGGAATTGTGCGTCATACAGATACTGTGCATCTTTTGGGGAATTGCCACACTGTTTTTTCAAGTGGCTATACCATTTTACAACCCCTCCAGCAGTGTATGAAGGTTTCAATTTCTTTACAGCCACGCCAGCAGTTTTTTGTTGGTTTTTTATTTTGTTTTGGTTTTTTGTGGGACTGAGGTGTGAACTCAGGACTTTTGCGCTTGCAAAGCAGGCATTCTATCACGTGAGCCACACCTCCAGTCCATTTTGCTCTGGTTATTTTAGAGATGGGGGTCTTTCAAACTATTTGTCCTGGCTGGTCTCAAACCTCAATCCTCCCAATTTCAGCCTCCCAAGTAGCTAGGATTACCGGCATGAACAACCAGAACTTGGCTTATGCCAGCAGTTCTTATTATCTGACTCTTCAATTATAGACATGTGAAGGAATAGGAAGCACTATTTCATCATGGAGCAGGTTTTCATTTCCCTGATGACTAAAGAGATTGGCATCTTTTCATATGCTCACTGGCCATTTATATGTTTTCTCTGGAGAAATGTCTATTCAAATCTTATCTATTTTCTAATTAGGTCGTATTTCTTTTTTTGTCGAGCTGTAAGAGTTCTTTATATTCTAGATATAAGTCCATTATCAGATACAGTGTTTGCAAAAATTTTCTCCCATTCTGTGGGTTGTATGTTTGTATGTGTGGGTGTTACTGGGGTTTGAACTCAGGGCATACACCTTGAGTCACTCCACCAGCCCTTTTTTGTGATGGGATTTTTTAAGATAGGCTCTCGAGAACTATTTGTCCAGGGTTGGCATCGAATCTTGATCTTCCTGATCTCTGCCTCCTGAGTAGCTAGGATTATAGGCATGAGCCACCAGTGCCCAGCTTCTTTCTGCTCTCTTGATGGTGCCTTTTGCAGCACAAGTTTGCTTTTTAATTATCTACTTTTTTCTTCTGTTGCTTATGCTTTCAGTATCAGATGTAAAGAAAGGTTTGCCTAATCCAAGACCAAAAAATTTTATACCTATGTTTTCTTCTAATAATTTCCTAGTTTTAGCTCTTACACTTAGGTATTTCATCCATTTTCAGTTAATTTTGAATAAGGTATGAGAAGTCAAACTTCATTCTTTTGCATGTGAATATCAGTTATCCCTGCACCATTTGTTGAAAAAAATTCTTACCCCAGTGAATGGTCTCAGTACCATTACTTTTAAAATAACTTCAAACTAGAAACATAAAATTATTTAGAAAATAATCAAAATAGCCACCCCCACATACCCAGCCCAATCCCACATTCAAAAACACAATTGAGGGAAGTTTTCACTTGCATGGAAGACAAGCATACTTATCCAAATTACTAGAATCCCCATAATCAATTCTAATTAAATAATAAATTTTAAAAAAACATGAATTGGCATCAACACATTTCACAAAGTACAATAAAGTAAAAGATGAAAAGTTAAAAAGGGATGAAAAAAGAGGGATGCTTAGAGAAACTTACAGCTTTAAATGCTTACACTAGAAAATAAAAATTTAATTAATAATCTAAGCTTCTAGTTAAAAAAAAAAAACTAGAAAGAAAAGAGCAAATTAAATCCCAAGAAAGTGCAAGGAAGGAAAAAGTTAAGATAAAAGCAGAAATCAATGAAACTGAAATCAGAAAGCTAGAGAAAACCTACAGATCTAAAAGTTGTTTCTTTAAAAAGATCAAGAAAATTGATATGCCATCAGCTAGACCAGTCAGAAAAAGAACAGGGAAGGGAGGGAGGCATAAGTTGCCAATACCAGAAATGAAAGAGCTGCAGAACTTATAGACATTAAAAGGACAATAAGGGAATATGATAAACAACTTTATACCAATACATTTGATGAATGATCTTAAAAGACAAAACTAACAAAGCTTATTCAA